GAAGCTGCTGCTATTGAAGGAACACTAAAGACGTCCATTATGATATAGTTAGATTACTTTGTGAAACCGCATTGAGGACAGAGTTTAACAGAATGTTATCCCTGTCTTCTTGTATTTCAGAGGCCTATAAATAGCTGCTATAAGCAGGCATCATGCCTCTCCGAGAACCAACATCTCGATCTGCTAGGTGCAGTCGACGTAATATTGCGTCGCGAATAACAAGCAAATTTTCGGTAAAGGCGGCACATTGCAAACAATCTCGATACTTGAATGCAGCACCGCCACCGCGAGATAGACGATCATTTCGAATGACTGATATCTCGCTGAGTTCAATCTCTGGATCAAGTATGTAGTTCGAAAGCCAAGTTTCAGCAACTGCTATGAAATCCCAAGTTGTTGTTTCAGGTCAAGAGCTTAGAATACTACCCCTAAATTTCAGGACTGTACCTTGACAATCCGAATAACTTTACTCATTCAACGGGTATCAATTATCAAGTTCAAAAATATTTTTGATCCCTTCTGGCACTAATGACCCGAAAAAACGCAATCAGGTTATCACCTAAAGAAATGTATTCAACGTAGCTACACACATCTATTTGGTTAACGGCTTCTTGTTTTAGGTTTCCCTGTCACTGTGGCCTCCACAGAGATAAAGCAACAGAACACCTGCACCAATAAAGGAACCACGAGTTGCTTACGCTGCAATACTAACAGCTCTATCTATACACCCTATATCCAGTTTAAGCCCGAAGGAATAAGACCGGGAGGCGAGTGGATGGGAGACACGTTTCGATTTCAGAAAACTTGCTAGACGACCGGTTAATATATTTATGGTGATACACAACGTTTCGCTTTTGACAAAAAAGCTTCATCAGGCGAAGTGAATTGGCTTAACATTGGCGTTTTATAACGATCATGCTTAAGCTACATACAGAGACTAACCGTTTTGCAGTTCATCGATGAAAGATTACAACGATTAAAGTCACTAGGCTGGTGTCTACACTGTGATTTGTTTCAATCATGGTCAAATGAGGAAAAGAAATTGCTGGTCCGCGGATAGTTATGTGTGGGCAGCAATCTTAAGTGATTCGTTGCAAGGGGAATTTGGTCACTGATATAACTTGGCTTTCGTACTTATGAATTTGGTATAGGGTGGATCGATAATCCATTCCGATTTGGATCCATCCACCGATGCTTATCAACCTGATTAGACTAGACTAGACTAGACGCCAGGCATTAGACAGCACTACTCGGTCTATTCTATTCATGCAGTTGTTAGCCTTAGTTATTTCTATAGCTTCAGCAATGAGCCTTTGTTTGATTGCTCGTAATCCCTTCCTGATAGCCTCCACATTTTCAAAGTCAATTTCGTGCCCCGTGTCTAGCGCAATTATTGCTATTGCCCAGTATCTGATTAGAGCTCCATATTCTAGCTCATTTTGCGAAGGTCATGATATGTGTCGCCTATGTTCTGACATTCTTGTACCTAATTCCCTCGCTGTTTGGCCTATATACACTTACGTACAATCTTTATATGAAATTTTGTAAATGCAGTTAGTTATTCTACCTAAAAGGTGTGAATCCTTCAGATGAACAAGCGTGAGCCTTGGCCTTTAACCCATCTGGAAAACTACCCTTATCTTCTCCTTATTCAGTACTTACCTAATCGCCTCCGAAGTTCCTTCTTTATACGATATCCCCAATGTCACTATCCACTCTGTGGTTGGCGTTGCGCATGGGTTGAGACATTTCTGTAGCTGTCGTCTCACCAATCGTTTCGGATATCCGCTATCCATAAAGTTTTTCATCGCCTCTCTCTGCACTGCATTCTTAGCTTCTTCCTCCGTGCACAGAGCACTTGCTCTGTGAAACATTGATCAGGCGATTACCGCGTACACGTGCTTCAGGTAGATTGAACCATAGCTAAGTACCCCATCTGTGTCCGTTTGTTTGCGATAGATTGTCGTTTTTAACTTTCCTTCGTTCCTATGGACCAGACAATCAAGGAACGGAAGTGTACCGCTCTGCGACTCAAGGTCCATGGTGAAGTTTGTCGTATTGGCAATAGAGTTCAAATAGTTTGACAATTCCTCTTTCCTATCACTTTATAATCGTAAATGTGTCATCCACGTATCGCCATCATAGTTTCAGAGCACCATGGAAAATTGGTAATGCCTTCTTTTCAAACTCTTCTATGTCCATATTGACTAATACGGGGGACATTGGAGATCCCATGGCTAGACCCTGTTCTTGAGTGGACTTTCTAGGCTGGAATGTAAAATAAGTCATGTTGAGACACAAACCTAACCCCTCGAACAGTTGATTCACTGTCAGCTTGGTTCTGTCCTCTAAGTTGTTGTACCCAGTTGATCCTCCCCGCACCAAATTCCAAAGTACTGAAGCCACGTTATATCAGTGACCAAGTTCTCCTTGCAAATCATTCAGGAATTTGACGGCTCCCAAATTAAAGTATTACTTTTGTTTAAATTGAAATCTACTATTTACTGTGGATTCTCGGCAACACATAGTGTGTGTTGTTTAGCAAATGGCGCAAGGAATAAAGTACAAATTGCAATACATCCACCTTCATTAGTAAAACGACGGTTTGCGAATTACATTTGAAGTACACTGAACCACCATACTGGAGTTAATCAAGCTAGACAAAAACATGACCATCTCATTTTCTGTCGGGGAAACGTGCTCACAGACAGACCCACATCGTGCAGAATAATGGCCTGTTCACTGTGTATGGCTGCACATACACATTTGTACCCCCTCAGTGAACTGGTGGCTACATATAACTATCGATTTTCGGACATCGTCTATCACAAATGTTCGCCAGACTATCAGTCTCTGTCTTGTCGAGCCAAATGTTTCGATAACCTTGGTGTTTATATTTTACTTTGCCGGAAGAATTTTGGCGCTGGCTGAATTTGATAAGGAACATTACGGAATTTCCTCACATTGTATTATCAACTTTAACTTTGGGGATGAAGATAGTCATCTGCTTTCTCACATACTTGTGGATGGTCCGAGGTAATCCTATGAATGATCTCGGGTCGTTTAATCAAGCCCAGCAAGTTAACTCATCGGGAGCTGGATGGATATTGGATCTTGACCTGAAAAAGCTTTGTTGCCAATTTTGTGATGATAAACCGTCGGTTACTGCGAGCACCTACGTGTCCGAATATCCTGAGGTTGAGTCAACTGAAGCAACAACGACCACTCTTCGAACCACTCTTAGGCCAAAGACTCCTCGCACAACAACTCCCATCACAACAACGCCTTGCCCAACTCAACCACCTCAAACAACACCTTGTCCTATGCAGTCGCCTGAAACTACCCCTTGTCCTACACAACCGCCTGAAACTAAACGTTCTTCTACACAACCGCCTGAAACTACCCCTTGTCCTACACAACCGCCTGAAACTAAACGTTCTTCTACACAACCGCCTGAAACTACCCCTTGTCCTACACAACCGCCTGAAACTACACCTTCTTCTACACAGCCGCCTGAAACTACTCATTCTTTAACCCAACCGCCTCAAACAACACCCGGTCCGACGCAACCGCCTAGAACAAAACCGCGCCGGACCACAACTAGAAGAAAACCAACGAGACGCACAAAGTCACATACCACCACTGCAGCAACCACAGAATATTATAGCGATTATTATTATTCGGAGAGTGATACTATGGATACGACGACAACTTCAACTACAACTCGCAGAACAAGTCGACGTACGACAACTACGTCCAAGGCGACGACAACGCCTGGAAGCCAAATAGATTGCAAGGGTGCTCTAGTCATAGTCAGCGAAATTCGCTTATTCGTAAGTTTCGCTGCCAATTAGTCAATGAACTACGTATATACACTCTTTTTCATTGTAGCTTGAGATTGCCATCAAAACGCAGGCTGAGTACAACTATCTGAATGCGGACAAAACACAAATCTTAGCTGCCATGCGCGAATTTGACGTCAAGCCTGTGATGAAATATCGGATAATAGTAAGTGATTTGATTGTGGAAGATTAATGAACCCACTGTTTACAGGTAAAACTGCCAGAGGGCAATTGTGAACAATTGGAAATGTATGCAATGAATCCAGTATGCGAAACAGATTTCTGTGTACCGAAAAGCCCGGTGAAGGTGGATTGCCCAGATATTTTGCCTTCTTGTCCTTCGGTGCGATTTTAGAGATCACTGACTCGGTTTTATTTGTATCAAAAGCGAGGGATGTGAATCTATTGGTTATCCAGAAGGCTGCACAATAAACCCTTGTTTGTCATTCACGGAGGAAACTTTGACCCTTGTCCTATTTCCCATGGTGGGATCCTAGCTGTTGTTACGCATTGTCAGTGTTGGTATACATGGGGTTTGTATTCTTAGCACTGTATTGCAAAGGAGCGAGTTAAACGTTTGATTTTGTTATGCAAAAACATCTGAGCCATAGAGCAGTTTCTTGTGTATGTTGTTTGCTTACCTCGGACAGTTTGCCAGTCCACGGAATAGACAATTTTCTCTGTAACATCGATAAAATTTTGAGAACTATCTTTACCGTCTACTAAGCAACAAAAAACACTGTATCATTAGACCGAACATTTAACACCCATTCGTTTTGCATGCATGTGAAAATTGAAAGCTATTACATTACATGGTTTAACTGAGAGTTAGGTAGTAAGCCTTTTCTCTGAAGGCCATGATAATCAATGCATAGGAGTATTCTAATCTGTTCACAGAGCACGGAGGCGACAGCTAAATGAGGATCTCCAAGGGGCGAAGCAAAGCACTCATTTAGTTGCGGTGTGTTGAAGTATCAGGTTTAGTAATGATAATGCCAACCACATTATTTTTCTCAGTTGCTTCCGTGTACAAAATGTAATCAGCCAAAGTTTACCAGTGAAAGAATACGCACTTGAATGGCATTGTGTATTGAATCAACTACAGCCACTCACCTGAATTGAGGTCAACGGTTAATGATGACCATTTGCTCATGGTTTTCGACAGTCATAAACAAAAATAACATCATAAGTTTTAGTCCTTCTAGAGCAGTTATTCTCAACGTGGGCCACATAGACCCCAGGTGGTTGTAGAGAAGTTCGGGGAGCCCTGGAATGAGAAAATATTCCAGAGGAGCCATAGGAGACCACGAATAACAGAACTCACCTAAAAATGTTCAGATAGTTTCGCTATGCACACCAGTCTCCCCTGGTAACTACCCGGTCAGTGTACTGAAGTACGCGTGCCCAACTGGCTGTTTACGAAGTTGTGAGAACCAGACAGGGCAGACTTTCTGCTGGGGGAATCAGCATAGCTCCGCCAAACTTGTGTAGGTTTCTTCGGGCTCGCCACAAACAAACAATCACCATACGGTGATATAGGCTGCACAACTGACAACCAATTCGTCCTCAAGTCTTTGATGCCCATCTACAGTGAACCAACTGAGCTTCACTAAGGCCACTGATACATCTACACCACAAGCTGCAGTGAACCTGGCGAATTCTCATCAGAATACTTCGGTAGTGACCACACTAAGTCACACTGACAATAAAGGAGTTTTCCTCAAGACAATACCACTGGGTGACAACTCATGTGCCGGTCAGTTTTCTCCTTCGGGTCTCCGTGCGGTAGCGCTAGGTTACGCGTTTTTTTTGCCAGTCTCAGCTCGCGTCTGGTGGCTAGGTCACATTAGCCCGCAACATTCCGAATTCTAGTGGCCACTCTGCGCACGTTGGGTACTATACTGAAGAACGTTCTTTCGTCTCGTCCAAGAACAGAACAGCCAGGACGTATGATAGCGCTTTCTTAACATTCAGTTAGGCAAACATTTTCGAAGTAACGAGTCGTTTTGTCAAATTACACCATACGTGTTAAGATCCGGTTTCTTTAGTGTGTATGACATAATATTACATAAGGATACTTCTCTTAATACTCATATAAATCAAATATCATGCCATCACTCATTGTGCGCAATGTTTGGCGATTGCCGGTCCACAGAAATAGGCGGTATTTTCTCATTTGTTTGTCGCTTCTGCCCTTCATTTTGCCTGTTGTCACTATATGTCCCGACTTTCCTGCAATGAAAATGTGTCCAGTATGCATTGTAATGTCTTGAATTTCATTTCTTCTCTTTATTGGTTTTGTCAGGAAGATTTCTTCAGGAATTTTAGTTATCCGCGATATTTCGAAATCCATCCTCAGAAACCACCTTTAAGTTTCCTCTAACAGTGTTTCTACACTTTTGCATGTGAGCTTGGTAGTCAACAACAGATGTTACAGGTATGCTAACCAAATGTCTTGTCTTATAATCTCACGTTCAAGTGAAAATAACTTCAGCACCACTAAGCATTCATACTACTTGCGTGTTTCACGTTGGCGAATAAGTCTATTTAATACACTTGATGTAACCGTATACGAAAATAAAACCCTAGGAATAGTATTTTTTTATCAGGTATTGACAATTTATAACGGCTTATTTCAGAAATAAGCTCCTCGGCCACATAGTGTCGGCAGTACTCCGTGGAATTAATATCCAATGGATTTACGGCATCACCACAAAAGCCCTCTCATCTATGTTTTATTTGCTAAAACAAATTTTTAGAATGAAAGTATGAAACCAAGTAAACAGAAATCATTTGGAAAGTGTTCATAGAGACGAAAGTAGAAAGTTTGGATTTTTTCAAAAAGCTATGTGGGTGTTTCGATAAAGACCAACTTTAAAGACCATAGTTACTTAGAGGACAAAAAATGGCGAATAGATTTAGGGCGTCTGAAAAAATCAACAACTGGACTGCCGAAAATCGCAGTCCACATAATGTTGAAAAAACTGCTATCCTACTTTCACTATAACTAATAATGTCTTACCCGTTGAATGTGAAACAAAAGAAGCAGTTTAAGTCCTTTCACTCAGTAATCCGACGGCATCTAGGCAAACAGATGTAATGGCTCAGGACTTAGAACTTTCCTTTGTTACTTTACTGTAACTCAGAAAAATTTCGTTAAAATTAGATGAATTTAGTTTACCTCACAACAACACTCTCCTCGTGCCATATATCCGATTTTTCAATGAAAATAAATTAACGGAAGGGATGCTGTTTGCCAGCAGAATTAAAATTCATACCATGGGCTAGTCTATATTTGAGGTGGTCAATAGCTATCTGACTGAAAACTCTATTCTAAAACAGAACATAGCTGAATGTGTAACAGATGGTGCAGTGGCAAGGATCAGAAGAAATAAAGGATTCATTGCCCATTTAAAAAATAGTCTCCCTTCTGTTCATACAGTTCATTGTGTTTCATCGAGAGCATCTGGTAATTAAGAACTCGGGATGACGTTTAAATGATTCACTGCAAACTCTTAACGATAGCAGAGTGCACCATCTTCAAGACGGTCTTTTCTAACAGTTGGGTGAAGAGAACATTAAAGATTTCTAGGTTTTCGTGTTGCATACAGAAGTTACATGACTCTCCAAGGGCAGCTGTCTTGGTATAGTTTGTGTGCAACGTTTCACTTTTGACACAAAAGCTTCCTCAGGCCGAGTGACCCAGTCGAGGATGTGTCTGGCACTTATAGCGAATTGGGATGATAATTACGACAAATAGGATGTAGGCAGAAAGTCATTCGCGTTACAGGTCAACGCATCACTCCGAAAAGTATATGGAACGGTCACAAGGGATCCACGTTACAAGGTCAGACACGTAAGCCCTGTTAACTATGGGTACGAGGATGATGTGATGTTTATTCTCTGCCCTGGATCCGCCCGCCGGCGCTCCTCAGACTCGTCGGGTTAACGCAGCTCGCCACAAACCTAATAATGGATCAACCTTCATTATTGGGTTTGGTTTCTACCAGCTACTGCTACTTAACTGCTATCAATCCCGCACGGAAGATGCCACCTCGAATGGTGGCGAAACGTTTGCAATCAAGTTGCTCAGCTCGAAGAACTCCACGGCAACTGAATGCACTACTCGTACACCCATAAATTCGATGAACACGCCGGACATCCTGCAGTCCAATTTCGGCGGAGCTTCGAGGACCAGTTCAAAATATTCTTTCTAAAACAATCAATTAACGCCACCTAAAATATTCAAACTCCTCCATTACTAGATTATGCCTCCATAACCTATTGACTTTCAGACTGAGTGATCATATAGCTTTAGAGTGTGAGCAACCATAATTTACTAAGCCTCTCATAGGCTATTCTTCTAGATCATCATTTGTGGATCGATGCATTATAGCCACGCCCGATGGAAGTTCAGCTTATGAACTTCTTTGATGCACTTAACAAACAACTATATTTTCCAAGTCCGGTACTTCAACTAAAAGAACAGGAATGTACGCATAAAAACACAAACAACATTGTGAAAAAGTCAAGAAAGATGTTGTCGGACAACGTTTTCCATAACCGGCTATCTGCATCATGGAACAGCCTTTCATGAGAGCTACATGCAATTAAGTAATGAATTAAATTTCAAAACGCAATACATTTATTTATCAAATGTGAAACTGCTACATAACTGTATGTCCTTATGAAACCGGAGCAAGATGCATGTGATTTGGATTTTCCTTTTTTCTTCCGACTTGAATGATTCCCTCACGGTTAGCATTAGCATTGTTATTGTGTATAATGACAGGGAATTTTACTTGTACTCTTACTTCCAAGCTTACCAATGTGAAAACTTGTGCTAGATTTGTTAATGTTATCTTTTGCGTTCGTTCTTGACTACTATTCATTTATTCTTTTCTGGTGACCACAAATCAGGTAAACAATCAGTTTTCCGTGCTCCACAAAATGCACACCACTTTTTATTTCCGTACTTTTCTGTCTGCTTCACCAGAGACAACCACCGGCTAATCTACCAAGAGCTGTATTGTTTATAAATACTTCAAACACTTATTTTTTCTCCGATTGTTTTTACGGAGTGTATCTGTCCGTGTCAAACTATATCACATCCCAGAGAGGCAAATGACATCTACTCATTGAAATATTCATTCCGTTACATTATGTTTTTTTATGGTTCGTCACGACTGCGTTGATCTGCTGAGGTAATGAATTGAAGTTAGCACGATAAATAATTACACCCACGAAGAGAGAATTGCCGCAGACCTTCTGGCGAGAAAAGCATGCTAGTCCCAAATGTGTCGGAGGTTTTAGCAGGCTGAGTGGCTGGAAGGCGTATCTCTACGCCTGTAAGAG